TTTTGTTTAATATAATAATTTGTGAATATATTTACTTCTTAAATGGTTTTGTTTAATATTTAGATCTCATGTAAATAATGGCGTTTAAGAAGATCACAGTATTGTCGCTAATATTTGCTCTCCTAATGACTTTTCTCATGTTTAAGAAAACCACATCAAGTCTAACAATAAATTGCAGGTAACTATATTTGTATCACAAAGTGGCATTTTCTCTCATATAATTGTTTTGTATTAAATATCATTTCAGTTAGTATTGCACTGTACTGTACATGTTTTATGATATAACATTTATGTGATTAATTTGCTATAAATAAATATTATTAGATTTCAAATATGATATTTTCTTATAATAATTATTGGACATTTCATTTATAAAGACATTTATATTGTAAATATTTTTAAAAAATAATTAATAATAAACAATTCATTTTAATTAAGTATAGATTTTTGTTAATTAATAATTATGTACTTCTCAATCCACTAAGATCTTTTCCACTGACTATAATGGGTTTCCATGATAAATTTTTAAAAAATGAGAAATTTGCCCAATCTAAAATATCTTTATGTGTAATTTATAAAATATTGATTTAATAATAATAATTATATTTAGATATATTTCGTCTCCGGAATGTTACGACCAAATGAGAGAAAAACGCTTTTGGTCTCAGAGAAAGTCGAGGTATAATTAATTATTTAATTAATTTTTACATAAAATATTTAACTCATATATTTAACTAAAATATCATTTGCAAAGCTATCCGTTTCCTCCATCTCTTCAATTGAAGCCCAAAATACGAATCCCTAACTCTTATAGACACAGAAAATTTAGGTTTGATTTAAATATAATTATTTTTTAAATAACATATTTATCACTTTTAACAGTCATTACAGGATATAATGGCACCGATTGTCAGCTTATTATTAATAATTTTTTTAAACAATTTTTAATTCATTTCATGGCATATAAAATACTAAATGTAAAGTTATATTACTTTACAAACTATATTATGTTTAATAATAGTGTTAAATAATATTTCATTAGTGAATATATTGCTACGATTTTGTTAGTTTAAAATATCATTTGTCAAATTCATTCATTTATTAGTTTAATAAAGATTATAAATTTGTTTTTATTCGTATTTTATAATCAAATACTATTAATCATACGACACAAGCAATTACTTAATTTTGCAAATGTTTCTAAATTTGATTTTAGGTTTAATATAATTAACAAATTGTTTTACAATTACATTATATTATTAAATTAATTATTAAAGTATTTTTACAAATTACATAATTTTGTTTATAAGTATTCTTACATTTGCGTAAAAATTATATTACGATAATAATTAACTTCTTTTGATAAATGTTAGTTATTTCTTATGATAATCTAGTAATCATTTTTTCATTATATTGCATAATGAATGTCACATTATTAATGTGTGAGATTTATTGTAGTTAAACAAAATAGATTTTAATTTAGTCAAATTGTTTTAACAGTTTTAAATTTAAGTAAAATTTAATTGAATGTATGCTTTCGATAATTAAATTATAAATTAGCAAAATATTCAACCAACAACAATTATTGTATTAAACAGTATCTCATATTTTGAGTATTAAATAATAACATTTATATTTTATTATGCATTAAATGAGACTTAAAATTGTCATTTCTGTTGTGTAAATCCAAACATTTGTGTTGTGTATTATTTAAATGTAAAAATATAAATGTATTAAAATTACATGTTATTATATAATAGTGAGACTCGTTTCAAAGCTGTTTAACATAGTATTCATTTACAACTATATCTAAAATTGAATAAAAATAAACCGAAGAGAAGAGAAGAGCAGAGCTTTCACAGCAAATAAAAAGAAGAATTTATTAGATCATCCATTACTTCATTACTGCATTACTACAGATGTCTATTCGTGTCTAAAATTAGATTTCAAGTCATTTTTCTGCATAATATTTGTAAGGATTCTTTGTTTTAAGATTATGTAAACTTATATTTTTACATAACGTATACTTTTTGTCAATTATTTGTATATTCTGTATATGTTTTTTGCTAAACACTTAGAATAGTCCTATATTTTAAGTGTTATCTTATGATAATTTTTTGTAGAATTAAAATAGTTAATTAAATTAATTGCATAAACTGTTAACGTGTGGTTTCACTAATTGTATAAATAAAGTAAAATTGTATTTTCCTAATTTGGTTATCTATTGGTAGTATTTTTATCAACACTTTATTTGTGAGATTATGAAAAAATATTTAAAGACATAGAATCGGAATTTAAACTTTTTTATTCAATTATCAGATCATATAATTACACAACAAATGTGTGCATAAAATTAGTTTCGATTAACATTTGTTTAACAAAATATATGTTTAAACGTTTGCGTCAAAGCGTTTGATCTTAATATTGGACAGAATTGTGGTTTTTTAAAAGATAAACAGATATAAATAGTTTTTAAATTATAAGTATTATATAATGCGATCGAGAAATTAATAAAAATAAACAAAACAAAACGTCGTTTACTTAAAACAAGTGATACCAAAACGGGATAACGATTTCAATGAATTGTATAATTGGTTTGAAAAATACAATTAATTGTTAGCGAACACCCATTTGTCGATCTGTGGTCCGGTGTAGTCGGCTTTGGTGGACACAACTCTGGCCAATGCGATCACACCTCCGGTCACTTCTGGGATATTCTTCTTCTCGTATAAGTCGACGGTCCGGAAGAGCTGGTCGTGCGCTACACCAAAGTCTTGGGCGGCTTTTATAAATTTGTTGATATTCTCCATCAGTACGTAACCGCTGCCTCCGGTGGCGATCTGTCCAT